GTGATTCACTTTTAACTAATAGTGTGTACCAAGATTACGTGATTAGAGTAAATGATTGAGAGTTGAAAGCTAATATGATTCCACTTGATATTCATGATTTTGATGTTATATTCGGCATGGACTTCTTAGTTTCAAATAATGCTTCAACCGATTGTTTCTGCAAAGAGGTGGTGTTCAAAAGGCCAGGAGAGCTTGAAATTATTCTTAGAGGTGAACAGAAAATATTACCTTCACGTATCATATCTGCACTTGATGCTGGGAGATAGCTTAGAAAAGGTTGTCAAGCTTATTTGGCTCATGTGATTGACACCAACATTACTAAGTTGAAACTTGAAGAAAATCATACTTCAGTTGATTGTTTCCGCAAGGAAGTGATGTTCAGAAGGTCAGGAGAGCCTGAAATTGTTCTTAGTGGTGAACGGAGAGTATTACCTTCCTGTATCATGTCTGCACTTGATGCTGGGAGATTGCTTAGAAATGGTTGTCAAGCTTATTTGGCTTATGTGATTGGCACCCACCTTATTAAGTTGAAACTTGAAGATATGCCAGTGGCAAGAGATTTCCCTGGTGTCTTTCCTGAAGAACTTCTAGGTCTACCTCCAAACAAGGAAATTGAGTTTACCATTGATTTGGTCCCAGGGACTATCCCTATTTCACAAACACCTTGAAAGTTCAGTTGTAAGATTTAATTGATAAGGGTTTCATTAGACCCAGTACCTTTCATTGGGGAGCGCCTGTACTATTTGTGAGAAAGAAGGACGGTACAATGAGATTGTGTATTGACTACAGAAAGCTGAATAAAGTGACTATTAGCAATAAGTATCCTTTGCGTTGTATATAGAGGTAGGCGTGGGTTGGATTGGGTCGAGTCGGTTTTTGCCCCAACCCAAACCCAATTTAATATTATCGATTTGTTCAAAATCTAACCCAACCTAGCCCATATAAATGTTGAAACCCAACCCAACCCAATTATATTTCGGTTGGGTCGGGTTGGGTTCGGTTGGTCAGTTCGAGACTTGTTACACAAATATTAAATTCATCCTATTTTTTGATTTAAAGTAACATTGATATAATCATCAAATGCCAATAAATTTGAAAATTAAAATAGTACAATCCACTAATACATAATCTCTTGCTGTTGAAACACAGCAATAAAAGACAATCCTAAACTTGATTAATGGCTCATTGCCTTCACTTACTATAAAAAGTTACTAAAACATTCTATACAATCAACTTGATGTAATTGCAAAGAACTAGTTAACATTACTTGTGTTGTGTTAAATTCTACATTTTTGCAATATGGTAGAATGCTAACGGACCATGATGACAGGTAATATGACATGTTTCTGAAGTCCACCATTTTGTCATTTTTATCATCCATATTCGAAATGAAGGTGACACAAACCCTCGATGCATCTTCATATACATCATCCTACAAAAGTATGGCTATTATCAAGTGTTTAACGAGCAACTAAAGAACTTATAGAAAATTCAACGTGTAATGACGAAACTGTAAGAAAAATTCTTATATAGGAACGTGGTGCAAAAGATGAGCATTAAAGGAAAAAATATTTAGATATATCCTTTTATAACTGCTTTAGCTTTTAAATGTCATTCAATATGGCATCAAAGCCAAGAAAGGTCCTTCACTGAAGTCCTCCGCCACTAATTCTGATGATTGCACTGCTTGGCTTTTGCCAAAAATGAATGCTGCTCAAATGTGAGTGGCATGTTGAAGGCAAAAATAATTAAAATTTACCCCTCCTAAGTATATTAAACTTGAGATGATTTGGTCATCCAGTGAGGAGAATAATTTACAAAACTCCTTTTTACAATTTCAAATTTACCGGACTTTAATATCGAAGATAGGTTCTTGTTCTTAAGTATTATCACATGTAAACTATGTAAACTTGGTTTTTTTTTTTAATTGGCGGGACGGGTTGGGTTGTTTTTTGTCGGGTTACGTGGATTAACCCATAAACCGACCCAACCCGCTTAGACTTGCCAAAAATCGAACCGAATAAAAAAATGGAAAAAAACCGACCTGGCCCGGTCGGGTTGATTCAGTTCGGTCAGGTTCGTCGTTTTTTGCCTACCCCTACTCGTATAGATGATTTTTTTTTGACCAATTTCGAGGTGCCATAGTATTTTCTAAGGTTGATTTGCGTTCAGGATACAATCAACTCAAAATTAGAGATGTTGATGTACAGAAAACTGCTTTTAGGTCGTGATATGGCCATTATGAGTTTCTGGTAATGCCATTTGGGTTGACTAATAGCCCAGCAGCATTTACAGATCTGATGAATAGAGTACTTCACCCATATTTAGACAATTTTTTTGTTTTTATTGACGACATATTGGTTTATTCTCGCGGTTGTGATGAGCATGCTAAGCACTTGAGG